AGTACAAACATTTTAAAATTAAGCAATACACCATGTAGCTTCTCATGCTACACCCAGAAGCACGTGCTTATCAGAAATAAATATTCTTTGTCGGCACGCTAAATAAGCACAGGGCATTGAGAAGAGTGAGAGTTATAACCTGATTATATTGTCTCTGTTTCAAACAGAAGTAGTTCTACCAGTGCTGAATTTCTGGCTGTTTGATAGCAAAGAATTGCATTTACCTTTATATATGTTTCAAAAATACATCTGAAATATTTCTTTATAGACAAAAGAATATGCTTATGCCAGCAAAACTCTCCCTTTCTTGCTTCTCTCCACATCTTAACAACCACTCCAGGGCCCACTGTAGTCTTACAGTTAAGCAAGTTTTGTACCACACCGGTAGTTCTTCTGCAGTGGTACATTTCTGCCACTCCAAATTCTGCTGCTACGTCCATTTCTCTTCTCTAAGTCCCAGAAACTTTTCTTTAAACTCTCCAAGCTAAAATAAGGTATCAATTCTAGTTATTCCTCATAACCCTTCCAAAGTATTACCTCAAAAAGAAGGAATAAATAATACCTTCCTAAATTTCTATGGCTCTTATGAACAAGGGAATGTCTGAAAGCCTGTAGGTAAGAAAAGGATGAAAATAACTCAGGTCAGTACTAATTGTAATAATAAAGTTGCTAAAGTTAAACAATTAAACACGGTTCTTTTTTTCTTATTTAATAAATAATATAAAAAAGTGAACTTTTGTTACATTATTGGAAAAAAAAACAGTTTATCTAACTCCAGCAATTATACAAGCCATAACGAAACAGACTCAGATTTGGAAGCCAGCTTTTTGGGTGGACATTCCATATCCCGCTTAAGTGGAGTCCAGTGTGCATAGCCTCACAACTACTGATGACTTTTCCACTCCTGGGCTTGGTCTTCTTTACGTCGTTCTGGTTCCACAGATGACCTCACTGTTCATTTGCAACAAGAAACCCCGAAACAAAGACACTCCTTAGTTAAAATTAAAAAAAAAAAGCCCACAAAAACGTGGCAAAGGTTCAACAGGTGATCAATCATAACTACTTTGACGGAATCATCATACAGATGTTCAATTAGGTTTGTCACATCAATAGTAACATGGCATTTTATCTTTAGCCTTGTAGAAAAAATGCAGCCTGGTATTATATGCACATATACACACACAGTACACTTGACAAAAAACACTTACGTGGTTTACATTTCACTTTTATTTAATCCTCAAAACTGCCCATATTGCAGGGTTTTTTTCTTGATGAAATATGGAACTGAGCAGTTAACTCTACAAAATTATGGTAAAAACTTGCTCATTTTTTCTACCTTATTGCTAAGAAACTTTACAGGTGCACAGTTTGTAAAAATAACCCTTTTAAGACTGAATGTATATACACATGCTACAGGATTATTATTATTATTTTTTTTTAAATGGCATAGCACCTCCATACGGGGCAAATGCAATGTTGAACATAGAACATTTACAAAGTTAAAACAGCTCCTTTATAACCTCTAAAGGAAAGAAATAGTTCAGTCTTAAAAGGGTTAAGTAGAAACCCTAATATAATTCTTCTAACAAAGCTGCCACTCAATCCCACAGTACAGTGCTTGAAAACAAAGTCAAAAGTCTGGCACAGGCAAGTACACACATTTGTTCAGTACTCATAAACACAGCTGCTTTTGAAATAAAGTAAATAATATGGTTAATAATTGAAGAGCATCTAGTTTCAGGATGGACACCTCTATGGAGTCATTTAATCTACAAGTGGGTAGTTTACTTCCCATAGATATTTTGTTTCACTTGGCATTAATATTTTGTATATGGGAATTCACAGATTTACAACTTGAGTTCATGTCTTTTCAGGTAACCATTCTGATCTCACAAGTCTGTGCAATGAAAAGAAGAATATAATTACTAACACAATTGTGGGATGCCCTCAGGGCAAATAATTAGGAAAGAAAAACAGCAGCAGCAGGTTATTAAAAACTATGCTAGTGTTGAATTCTGAAATGCAGTTCCAAACAAAAGAAAACAAGAAAAGGCAGAGCTAAATCTGAGCACATAATTTGCTTTTTCATCCTACAGTTGGAACTATAACAACATTCTGAACACAGACTCAGTTTCTATGTATACAGAATTAACAGCAGACTTAACAGCTAGACTTGAACAATTATAATTGTTTCATACTGAAACATTCTAAAAGTAGTTGTATCAAAATGTTGAGATATCGTTAATATCATGAAGATTGGTTAACAGCTCACAAGGCCAATAAATGTAACAGTAACACCCCACAGGAAAAAGTTCAGGAGGATAATATATCTGAACAACAGGACATCTGAACAACAGTAAGGACTTGGAAGACCATTTCTGTACTACAAAGTAACTACTGGCAAAAACGGTGCCACAAGCCCACAGGAAAAACGGGGTTTTAAATGGTCTTGTAAGCACAACTTAGTAATCTGTTTTTCACCCAGACAGCTGTAGTGTGTAGAACAGCAGAAATAAGGCTAGGTCGTTAGGTTCTTTACAAGTCAAGGAATATACCTATTGGGCAAAATTATTGCAAATAAACTGAATATAAAAAGTATTGCATTTACATGTAAAAATTTTAAGATAATGAGTATAAAAGCAGGTGTCAAGTTCTGAAACGCTATTTAAAGTATTCTCTGAAGGACAAAAGACTCGTTATGGTTTGTTTACTGTGTGTATATCATGGTTTGTTCTTGAATATCCTTCTAAATGCAATATATGCACCACTTCAATTCTCAGTCTAATTAGCGATGAAAATCTGCGGCTTCTGAATTAAACAGTACTGTAAGATACTTATGTGCTTCAAACAAAAACACTGTGAAATGATTCTTGCCACAACAAGACTAACATGAAGTTTTATAGCATATGCACAAGTAAACAGATCTGCAAGTAAATGCCAGTAAACAGTTTAAAACAGAGATAAGGCCACAATGAATTCTGCCCTTGGTCACTGAAACAGAGATGAGGTGAGGCAGTATCCACTAGTGCTAAGGACCAGCATTGTGACTATGTCATGGGAGTCTGTTTCATAATATAGCAGAGCAAATATGAAGGCCTGTGGTAGGATACAAGCACATTTCAGGACAGTGGCACTGATTTAAACTATTAGCTAAATGTGTTTTATAAACAATTTTCTCTTTTAACCACATTGTTCTCACATGTACAGTGGAGCACTAAAACAAACAAGTAAAATGGAGCGTCAGAGTACACAAATATGGTGCAGTGAAAATGCTTTAAAATGTTGGTGGGTGTTGGAACTGGAGTAAGTGGTCAGAAATAAAAACCCTATGAAAATGGTCAACAGGTAAGCTTGAAAGCAACGCAGTGTAGGAAGCCACAGGTTCACATTTACACAGCAGTTGTGGCTCATGCTTCAGGGAATAAAAAAGGCTGAACACACCATAAAATTTATATTTTGGCATTTCAAGATCACGCTATCAGAACTTGTCCTACGATTCTATGCCTAGTTCTGTGACTATGAATGAACTAGTGGGATATATTTTCAATTACAGATGAAGCAGGCAGGTCTGCAAGGAGAGCTAAAACACAGCAAAGTCAAAAAGAAAAACAAACACAACAACCAACAAAGTCAAAGTGCAAATGAGCCTTAAATTTATGATGGAGAGAAGACTTGAATGTTGCACAAGCTGTTGGCAGGGAAAGAGAAACCCATAGGAAATAAGGATGGGAGGAGTTGACATCTTCATAGTGCTTTTATGATTTTCTACTTGCCCATTCCTAAGTAATAAAATTTACTTTAGTTATTATGGTATGATCACTTCACAATGAAAGCACGTTCTCAGTACAAGTGTTACACTTAAGTTTGGCCTAATTTACCAAACGCTATGAAGAAAAACATGCTTGTTGTGATTCTTAGCCATGAAGGGCATCACCTACCAATCCTATTTGTAGCATATACTTCTCATGATATTTTAGTTACATGCCAACAAGACAGAAGACATGCTGCCAAATGAAGTTATTGGGAACATTCCACTTTTGAAATAAAACATTTAACTTACACTTAATACAAATTATGTACAAGAATAGAAAAACCTGAACAGATTCTGAAACATTTTCAGATGCAATATGACTGTGAAAGGAAGGGGGAGAGTAACCCAGTAACAACCCTTCAAAAACACCAACGTATGCCTGTGACATGAACAATCATTAATATGACTGCTTGAGATGTCACCTTTAAAAAAAACGAAACTCATGTAATGTTAGAACCTCATGAATTATCACTATAAATATATATTTAAAAAAAAGGAAAACAGAAATAACTATTAACAATGACTGAAAAACAGAGCACTAAAGTTAACATACATTGCATGTATTGCAGGCAAGGCAGAGGCATTTTTTAAAGCTTTTGCACAGACTTCATATAATCTTAAAAAAAATATGCTGGCCTTTACAAGGTTCTACTTGCTGAAATAAAAACAATTTCAGTTCATAAAAAGTCACAAGACTTCAGTTTAAAAAAAGGAACAGTTCCAGCCACAGACCAAAAATATATATACTTTTTTTTTTAAAACTGGAAGAGTATGGTAATTAGATTATACAAGCATGGTCAGGCTTGGAACCTGAATATACTTCGGAGCAAAAGCTCAGAGAACAAAAAATATAAACTATTTGGTAACAAAAGTGTACTATATGTTGTGATACAAAAAAGGTATGGTGAAAATGTACCTTTTATACTAAAGCTTATACAAGTTCCTTGGTCCATAAAAACTATGTTGTGTTCATGTTTTCTAGTTTGCTCAACATGTATCCCAGCCACATTTTTATTTCTTGCCCATTAAAAAAAACAGCTGAAAAATAGATTTTCAATAAAGTTCTTATGTTTTGGATGTTTTTTTTTTTTTATTGTGGCTTCTATATTTAAGATTAGCACTTGCAGGTAACCAGGTTCGAAATAATATCACCTAAAATGGAAAGGTGTTTTCCCATGAAACCACAAAAATTGTTCAGTTCTCTTGAACGTAGCACTTAAAAGTCAGTTAAAGTCCAAACAAACAACGGTAGTTAGGAAACTACAGTTGCTGTAGATGATGTGACGTTGGTTGGATTTGTGCTGACATTTGTGTAACTTCCCTCGCTGTTTGCATTTGTCTCACTGGAAGCCATGAGGCTTGAGTTGGCTCTGAGGATTGCTCCAGCAGCACTGCAGTGTGGTCGTGGCCCTGGTTCTGGTGTGTATGTAAAGGTAAGGCTGGTGGAGTAAATTATGCCATCGTTACGGACCAAAGTTACTGGAACTTGGACTGGTTGACGGACCCACCTCCAGCCCTCTCGAAATGCAGAAATATCTGGAACAACACATAGCATGCTCTCTGCACATCTGAAAAAACAGGAGAGTCAAGTCAACTTAGTAAACAAAACTTAACGTTAAAGAATGAGCATACACTATGAAAAACATCCCGTAAAACATAACCACCATAAAAGTAGTAGGAAACACCATACCTGTACATAGTTTCAGCTTCCACATCCCCAAACCAGACACGTAAATTTGGAGTGAAATTCTGTCCTGTAAGTTCCAACATTGCTACATCCCCACCGCCATTCAACTGGATGAGGTGAGTATAAAAGAAGAAAACCCACAAAAAAACATATTAAGAAAAATACCCTAGAAAAATTCCTTTTAGTGCACATATGAACTGTAAACAATGCTACTGGTATCAGTTGGATGAAATAAAAATAAACAGACCTACACAAGTGAACTGTAAAAAAGTAAACTCAATAAGATACTACCAAACAAAGAACAACATCTTCCAGAGAACACTAGGAGAGCTTTAAGTTATTCAACAGCAGATAGCACATTTTCTTAACACAGTTTCAGCCCTGTACTGTTTGATGAGTAAATGGCTATTTAAAGAGTCAAAATGCTTTTCTAAATAACCAGAAGAGAAGTGAAAGTCCTAAAGATATCACCACCATAGTATTTTAAAAAATAAAATTCTTAATGTACAGAACAATATTGTTATTCACGTGACCAATATTAGTAGTATTCATGTGATAGATACACATTCTGAAACACAGCTGAGAAAAATTATTGCAATGTAATTACCTTATATAAAGCTGGTAGGAATCCTCTCCTACAACAGCCCACAAAATTACTATAACATTTAAATCAGTATAATAAGAATAATCTCATGTGAAAGAGTTTATGAAAATAAATACGTCACTTACTTGAAGACTTTCTACAACAGGCACAGGTGTCACTGGAGCATGGACAGGTCCCATCCCCTCATAAAATGTGTACTCTGCTTTATCTGTGCTAATGATTGTCCAAGAAGCTCCATCATTAATCATTTCTTTATTTGGTTCTTTTGGGCATGGAGTGGCCTTAAAAAGAAAATAAGTTTGAAGTCTGATCTGTAGAAATGTTTGACAGTAAGAGAGCTAAAAAGCACCTCAGTCAATAACAATATCTATTATTTTCATCATATGTTTCTCCATCCTTCATCTCCAACAGAAAGCACTGAATATTTTTCATTTTATGAATTATATCTGGCCAAGCACCATGATTTACTTATTTAAAACTTGTTCTTTATCTAGAAAAAGATGAAAAAACCAAGCTAACATTCTAATGTTTGTTTAAAGACATGGGAGAAGCCGAAATGAAAACCCTGCAAATAAGCTAGAAACCTACGCTATCCCTTTGTAAATCACGTATCATTAGTTTTATATCTTTGTGTACTGTTTCTTTATGGCAGCAAAAGCCCTCTCTGAACAATTCCATTATTTTGCATTCAATAAGGAAATTGTGCACAAGTTAATTACAGACAAAAAACCAGACTAGAAAACTTTTAATAGCTAAATTCTGCTTGCTTACATAAAGTTTTAGGGGCATCTTGACATACAACCATCCATCCAACCTGTTATATTACTTTACTCTCAAAAAAACATTAGACAAACTTCACAAATCTAACACAAATGGCAGCTCTTCTTCCACAAAGTGAGCACAGACTGGCTAGACTCCTACTTCAGAAACTAGATTCAGCAGTCAATATTCAGTGAAAGATGGCACACATGCTTTCTTCCCCAGTCTTGGTCTTCTGGTCCAAGGGAAGAAACAGAGAAAATGAGATGTCTTTCCTGACACTGGCAGAAAGATTTTATATTTTGTCATGATTCCAGTTACCAAAAAGTGATTACAGACTGATGTGCACATTAACAGATTTTATTCAACAAGTAGAATAAAAATTCAGAAGAGTGGGGTGTCCTTTCACCCTCCCATGTGGAAAGTTTGGATCTCTTTTCAGACTGGGCTCCGCAAGTATCATGATACTAAAGAGCGTTAGTCTGTGGAACTGCAGGGACATACATTTCTAGCAGCTGTCAGAGCAGCAGGAGTTCCTAGTTCATTCAGCCCTTCCCACAAAGTAGTTAGAAAAACATCAAACAACAGCAAGGCTGACTCTGAGACACTGCAATTCCTGTTTCATTGTTTTCTTTTCTTCCTGGCAAAGATCCATTCTGCTTTACAAGAAAATACATTGATAGATCTCTCTGCTATCTCCTAGTGGAAGAAGCGACAGACCTTGTCCACTCCTGACCTTTTAGGTCATGAATGTTTCCTGAAATATGAACAAAGCTTCTCATATTCTTTCCACTATCACAGTGTAGGACAGAAGTCACCTGAGACTTTACCGATCTTCCTTGCCCCCTCCCTTAAAAACGCTAGCTTTCTACTTCCCTGCTTCTACCTTTTAAGAAAGTTCTGAGTCTTTACCAAGTTTGTTGCTTTACCTGGAATACAGTATTCTCTCTCAATACCCTTCACTATTTGAGCAGCCCTGGATTTTTAAAGAGATCTCTCAGTTGAGATTAAATCTGATTACCACTCTTCTATTGTCTGGAATTACCACAGTAGAAGTCTGCTAAAAGCACACTAACACACATAAAACTGAAGCAGCTTGCTGGCATATTATGAGATGTCAAAGCAAAATGCAAGCTATAATTATTTTTTTAGGCAGCTATTCCTTCAGGTTGATTCCCATTAAAGTAACTCACTGGGGATAATTTTCTCCACCTGCTGGAGAAAAATTATTGAAGACAGATGAGTACATTTTTACTGACAAACCAAATTTCCATGGTTTTACTCTACTATATACCCTTAGCCAAGAGGAAGACAATTCAACACTGCTAAGTGCATCACGAAAGGCTATAATGAACTGTACTTGCTGATTTTTCAAAAGAAATATTCTCATTCAAAACCAACTGCAAAACTGGCAATCATACATATTTGTAAATATTTGGGAAAAGTCTGCAACCAAGCTTTTCATTTATCAAAATAAGTTAACTCACTTGAAATTGGATTATTCTCTCCTGGGAAAGGCACAAATACATTCTCTCAGTGTCTTTAAGGTAAAATGCACATTTATGGAGCTGCGATACTGGATCATCTGCATCCAATAATGCTGTTTGCTTATCTACTTTTCGAATTATCTGTGAATGAAAGTTGTATGCACATTTAGGACAATTTCTATACTTCGTTACATTGAAGATTACACTGCAGATTATGTATGTAATGTTAAGTACAGGAAGTGAACAATCATAATTTTCAAGTTTCCAAGCCTCCTGTTTTAATAATGTCAGATTAATAATTTCTAATAATTTTTCAAAGACACAATATTCCAGTTACAATCAGTACTACTCCTTCAAAATACTGTATGCAAATACAAAATATACATTGTACCTTTTTCCTCATTCCAACAGCAAGAAAAAAGAGTCTGAACTTCAGCAAAATCTACGTTTGGTTTGTTTCTTGACAATGAAAGAACAGTAGGTCAACTATCAGTAGTTTTCTACAGAAGCACATGCTTCCAACACTGATAGTATCAGTTACACTCTATGGCAGACTGGCTGCTGAACTAAATCAGTTGAGAAATGAGGATCTACTCTAAAGGTATCGAGATGGCCTTAAGCATAATATTGCAAATACAACAATCACTGGTTATCTTAACAGTTACCTTTAAGTAATATTTAATTACCAACTGAAAAGAACAATTGTTACTGACAAACTGACAGCACAAAAAAATACACTGACTTAATTCAGAGTATTATTTTATTTTTAAAAATTAAATTATTCCCCTACAGGTAGTGGAAATAAGTTGGAATACTGGAATTTTATCTCAACTTCTAGAAAAAAAGTTTAATATTTCATGTTATGCAATATCAGCAGAAGCAGCAGCCATAGTGCTCAAAGATTTCTTAGCTAACTATCTTCTAGCTTCAAATCAGTAGAATACTTTTAAATGTAGGCTGAAGTCAAAAAACAAAACTGTCCTACTGGTTGCAAAGCCTTTAAGTATTCATATTGAATAATGAATAAAGTATTTTGCTACAGTGGGACCTACATCACTGTTTTTAAAAAGACCTTTTTTTTAATGACAGCTTGCAGATTAACCTACTTCGGTAGGTTTGAATTTTGAAAAGTTCCTTGTGCTTAATTTGTAAGTTGTTCTTTACTTATAGCCTTAATCTGCAGATATAAAAACGAGTGTCATTTGCATATAAATTGTGTAATTACTAAAACTAAATGTATAAAGCCAAAACTGTAAGGAGTGAAAATGCAATTATATAATTACACTAAGCAGCCACATACAAGTTAACTATAACAGCGGAGAAATTAAACATTACCAGTCTTGGGAGTGCCATGCCAGTAACAGAGCACACAAGTTTGACAGTCTGCCCATAATGAATGTAGCCATCTCTCACTGTGAATTCTTCTCCTTCCGATTCATCATCATCCACTGCATGAAAAAGGAAATTCCACGTTATTTGTTTAAATAAGCGTTTTTCTCAGTATGAGGAACACTTAATACCACACTACTACATCAAATATACACTCGGTAACAAATCTGTGCTTGGGCAATTAATAAGGAAGAAAAAGGACTTTTTTGTGGGGATGGAGGGAGGGAAGTTAAAAATATATATTCCTTCATTTTTTACTTACAGAGATGAATGTAAAATGCTCCCCACTGTTGTGAACTGGCATGGAAATTACCGCCTTCTACGTGCAAATATCTGGTGCTAACTGTTTGGGATCGAAGTCTATTAAATAGTGCCACTTTTGTCCCTGATGCAATACATACTGCAAGGAATACATAAAGACTTCAGATTATAAAATTACTTCATTATTATTACAAAAAAAAGTAAGTCACAAATACAATAAAATAAGCCGATGAATATTGGAAATGAATAAATAATTCTCAATTATTTACTGGATTATATAATACTTATATTTGTGACAGACCAAAAATAGTTACAAAATTATAAGAGGAAAACATATAGAGGCTGTTCTCCAAAGGCATGCTACTTCACTAAATTCTGCCACTTGGCCAAATGGGCCAGTGCTTGCCAGCTGAAAATTCTCCATTTACAGCTTTCAAATAACTGATTATTTGAACAGAAGCATTAGCTTACCCTCGAGAAATATTTAAGATTACTCTCAGTGCTCACTGCATTTGAAGTATAAAGAAAAATTATCCTTACAAATCACAACCAATTGAAATGAAAACAGACAAATATATAAAACTGTAACCATGCAACTTGAAATTTTCTCCGATCTGAACTTTCTCATGACCTGAGTACGAAAGGCTAAGTCTGCTCCCCTAAAAAAATTCAGGTACTATCACTGTCATCAAAACAGGCATGTTTCTTCTACTGTTAATATTTACTAATGAAAACGCCTAGTTCATATTTGTTGTCCATAAAAACTGTCTGTCTGAATACAAAGTCAACAGTGCATACTCTGAGCCCACGGGCGTAAACTGCACAGCAACAGACCGCCTTTATTCATGTGGCAAGCTAGCAGCCCCGAGATCCACATTCCATAGGTGAATGGGTTCCAGCCCAACACAGATGGAAGAGCCCTTTAAAGCACTAGTGAAGAGAGAAAAACAAACAAACAAAAAAATAACAGCATCTCTTGAGGTGCTCCAGTGGTAGCAGGCAAAAATTTTGGAGAAAAAGCAAAAATGCTCCCAATAGCACCAGAGATATCTTCAGTTAAAAAATAGGGCAAGCAAATAAATCTGGGTGAAATATCATCATACAGATTTCTTAGCAAATTATTTAAAAGTGACCATGCAAAATATATTAAAAATAAAAACACAAAAATGGCATGAGACAGAAAGAAGTTGACTGTGACGTGAAGAGGTACAGTCTGGGAAACATGGAAGTATTCCTACCACAGTCTGAAAGTTATCTCTTCACTACTGATCAAAACATGCTAAGCACCAGATCAAGGCAGCTTAAGGGATTCAACAGCTTAGAAAGCTGAGACAGAGCATTCTTTATGAATTTGTTTACAAGGATTTACTCCTCAGAATAAAGGTTTTGGGTGGATCTTTTGTATTCACTAAATAATTGTGACTGTATAAAACTAGACGGCATAATCAATATAGGAACATTTAAAAATATATTGCTGTGTGTAATTCTAAAATCATTTTTTTCATTGAAAACTTCATATTTTATACTGTAGTCACATCTTAATAGATTAAAAGCAAAATGGAGACAAAATTGCTTCAGAAAGAAAAGAATTGTAAAATACTTACAGTCTGCATTTTTCAGTGACTGCTTCTTTTTAGAAGGCTTGGAGATGACTTTGATTCGTTTACTGAGGAACACACCGATGTCATCACTATTGCCATAGAACATTTTTACTGATAGCATGAAGTGCTTTCTCTTGTCTGAATCTGATATGTATAACGTTTTGGCAGTGCAATAATTCTGTGGGTAAAAACATAATATTGTTCCCTTTTTCAAATTAGCTCAGTACAAGAAACTCCATATGTAACTGTGAATGAAAACGGTGTACCAGTTTTTCAAGCAGATCAAAAATTGCTTTCTCCTCTCTTCCCCACTAATAACAACACTTGACTTTTTTTTCCTAATATGTATGGAATCCTTCCACATGGAAATCATTTATAGACTACTTTTTAGCTTTGTGAAGTACAGCATCTTACTTCATTACTTCAACTCCTTACTAAGGCTGGAAAGCAAGTGATTACAGACTATAGCTGTGTCAAAGCCACATTTGAGATGGTAAGAGCACCACTAAAAGTGGTGTACAGCTATAAAGTCAGTACAGCAGATATGCACAAGAAAGCTTGTGCAAAAAAAGGAAACCAACCAAAAAAACACAAATGAACCACCAGCAGCACCACCAAACATTAAACCAAGCTTTCCTTGAAAGCATTGGAGAGGATTTAGTTTTGAAATCAGTGGAAAGTTACGAAGAGCTAAATGCTTAAGCTAGGTGACAAGAAGAGATGAAAGACCTCCAGAAGAACTTCTTCTATCCTTCATTTTAAGAAACAAGTATATACAAGAGCAGTGTCCACCTTGGTATAATGAACATGTTTCTGAGAAGTTATACTAAAAAAATCTTTAAGCCTGCAGTAGGATTCTGTGAAACCACATGCTTAAGCTGTAAGGCACATACAGCATGTATTTTGTGAAAACTCCCGCAGTTAGTAATGGCTCATGGAAGTAAGAAGTCAGTTTTCAGAACCATTCAAAGAATCTGTTCAAATCCAAATAATCTGATCTGTGGTGACCTAGCTTGGTGACCTTGACCTTCCATGGCAGCAACATGAGGAGTAAACACAATATGGAATTTAGATGGATTCCATTGTATATTTGGAAGAAAAAAAACAACACACAAGCAGTAACACAAAACATTTCTAAGGGGATGGTGCTACAAATAAAATTGTAGTAATCAGCTGGATAACACTGCATAATTAGACAACCAAATAAGATGAGCTCTTACATGCCGCCAGACTTACTCCAATTGTTTAAGTCACCACAAACGTGTTAAAAAAATCTGGTAGGAATTTATATTACTGTACAAAAAAACTGTACTACACATATAAAGAGGCACTTAAAATGTATTTTTGTGCAAAGGAATTTAATGACCACTTCAGCAGCAGATGTTGTTCAGATGCTTCCTTAATATTATCCATTTGCGCAAACCAGTGAGACAGATAAAGACTTTTGGCAAGCAACCTTACTTCAGTTAACCACCGAGGCCTACCAAATAATCTAACAGAACTGACCCTACAAATGAAAAGTTAGCACCATGCTGTAATTCCATGAATCACGTCCATTGACTCCACTGTCTTGTATATTTGAGGCTTTTTTTTTTTAAACGACTCATGTAGTATCTGCTACAGAATAACTAAAATTACAATAAGCCAATGCATGCCCTGGAAGGCATTGCGTAGTTATAACATCCTTTGTGGAGATCTTAAGTGCATTATTACACTTCTACCTTTCCTTCCAAGTTCAACTGCTGCATTTCTTGGTCACTGTTTCCTATTCCAATGAAGGCGCAGGGTTGTGACTCTTGCTCAGTACAACCATCCCGTTCCATTTGCTCTTTTTTTTTCTTCCATCCACTGCCCATAAGATACACACACGGAGGGGGACAAAAGAACCTGAAAATGAAGAACATTATGAGATTACATCCAATTTTTAAGGAAAAAATAAAAACAAGCATTCAAAATGTTGTAGATCCAAAGCTTTCTCCATCAATTTGCATTTTCACTGCAGTTCATATATGCATGCTTTTCATTAGCCTTAGAGATTTTCTAAAACACAAATGGAAAAAAGAGAAAAAGCAAGGCAAAAAAGTATTAGATGCCCTGTCGACAAGCATGTCTCCATTGTAAATAGGAAACAAATTCCATCCCTATAAAATAAAAACATTTTCTTACCCTCACAAAAAGGAAATTCTCTTAAAGAAAGTAGAGAGGTCTTCCAAGTGATGACAATGTTTTGCTTTTGTAATCAACATGATTAAGACACATCAATACCAGCAAGTAATTTAATGAAAACCTAGCAACTGCAATTTTAAAATATTTAGGCTTTTATCATTAACAAAGGAAAAGGAGGGAGTCTATTCTGTTAAACACAAATTTATTTTGTTTATAAATGAATCAGGTGCCTTCAGCAGTAATTGTAAGATGTGATTTATTCTTTAGCAGTCATTCTAGATGCTATTTTAAAGCAAAAACTTCAGAAGAAAAAGCCATGTATTGTAATGCCATGTATTGGTCTTAAAGTTTCTGCAAATTGTTAAAAGGACAGCCTTAAGTGCTTTTGGTTTTAGTTTAACCTAGAGGTGCAGTGTTTTTAACATCATTTAGTTAAAATCAAAGTTGAAAAAGCAGAAGAACTATTAGCATACCATACTTATAAAAAAACTAAAGAGGCATGAAAGGAAAGGAGAATTGAAAAAGGTTCTTATTCCATTTATTTCACATTGAAGTGTAGTACTTAATTTGGCAATTCTGACATTCAGTAACATGTCCTGCTGTATTCCTGTAAGTAGGTACAACATTTTCAAAATGTGCTCTGGAACAACTGAATTCATAGACAAACTCTTTAAACGCTATGTAAGCTTTTATTAGCATACATCAGCTTTAGTTTGAAAATTAAATTTAATAAACTTCACCACTTCAGTCCATCAGCACAATTATCTTTCAAAGACATAAGATGCTTTTTTAAGTAACAAATTTCTAAAAAGAAGAAATCAAAATCCTGACTTAACAGTCATAATAAAAACACAAACAGTAAAAAACCATATAAGTAAATGCAAAGATTGGTAATCATTTCAGTTAGGGCACTAGTCAATATTTATTCCTTGTTCATAAAACAAAAATTAACTTTTAAAGATTTCACTGCAATTCAAAATTTCAGTGGTTATGATAACCAGCAAAAATAGACTCTTGCAGGCAAACGCCAAGCAATCTTGAAAAATTTTCACTGCTAATTTATTTGGCACTTCAACTTCTCACTCTTTTTAAAACGCATCCAAAATGATTATATAATAATATACCATATGGCTTAAATATCTAAGAAAAATCTTTCAAACCACAACACTTTCCATGGTTAAAAAAAAAAGACTGCCTGCAAGTTGGAATTTGTAGAAAGTAGACCTCTATATGAGGTCAAAAAAATCTGCATGTTTGAAAAACCCATTAATTTCATTAGTGGAACTGCTCACACAGATTGCTTTTCAAACTTAATTCAGAACCAAATGCTGTATTTCCTCCATTATGATAATCCATTTCACCAGAGATGTACCATAACAATTATTTGTTCCTTTTATTGCCTTCACACTGTTGTCAAGGATATAAATGGAATATAAAATTAACTATGGAATTATGAGTTAATGGAAATCTGTTTGTAGAAGTGAACTACTCAAAGTTCACCAAACAATATTTTTTCATGTGCTTATTGCATCAGTGTTAACTATTTGCATTTGATTCTCTGGAGGTAACTATGGGCCAGATGAAGGCTCTGGGATTTTTTTTTCCTTCCAGTTGAACATGCAGAACACAGAACCAACACAACAGGTAGCAACTTGCCAATTTGCAAAACAGATGTTTCCTGACAACTCATGAACCTGAAAACCTACACAACAAAGTAGCTCAAAAATAAAATGTAACACTTCTCCAGCAGTTGCACAAGACAATAATTTCAGGAAACCAGTCGTGAAGTAAAATGCTGGAGTTTATAGTTATCTGACACCAGAATGCATTACTTTATTGCTGTAAGCACAGAAGTTGAAAACTACCTCAAACAGAAACAGTAAGTAATAAATACTTCTTATGAAACAGGATATAACATATACCACTTCCTTAGCTCATTATATGTCTTTTCCTCATTTTTTGCTACCTGACATCTGTTCCAGCTTTCTTAGTGACAATGCTGACTGCTTCTGCAGGGCATACTTAATATCCTTATGGAAATCTCTTACACACTTAGCCAAGCATTTCCCTTCCTACTATAAAATTTTGATCACTGAATCGTAATGCATTCCCTACTTCTCACCTGCACTCACTTCATAAATTAGATCAGTACAGACTATGTAACCTAATTTCTCTCAAATGCTTATCTACCAAACAGAAAAGACAATCTTAAGATAATTTACATGTGCAAGGGAAAGTACACAATGACAATGGCTAAAGTAACAGTAAAGTATCATAGTGTAAGGTGTTTACAGAAACATAATTTATATTACTTTTTTCAGCCCATACCTAGATGCAAATACCATAGCTGCTTCTAAAAACATTTCTGAAGATCAGCTACTGATGGCTGAAAGTTCTGGATTGTTGTAGGAAAACGGGGGAAAAAAAACAAAGCTAGCACAATGATTATGGCAATATTATTATACTCATCATGTCATGGGTAGGAGGCCTACTTTTTTCTTTGAGAATCTGGAAGTAAGAGGTGCATCAGTTCAAGATAAAATCTTGTATTTATATTACTGGTTAGAAGACAAAAAAACCCCAAACTTTTTATCATACCGATTTTCATTTCGGCTATATTCTAAATCAAGACCTTTACATACTTACGACCACGAGGTGGCAGTAAAGACCCATAAGATACAAGTTTTTCCTCGTTACACATTAAAACAGAAAAACACTGGAAGACTCCATATTACCAAACAAAGACATAAACTCTCACTTAGACCATTTCATGACAGGCTAAACCTACAAAACAAGGAAAGAGCAAGTGATCACAGTCTGAACAAACTTTCTTCTCTGTCACTTCGTATTTACAACCACAAGCACTCATCTATGGAAAAGGTTAATTATACACTTTATTTCCAACAGTTTTCCAAGTTTGAATAAGAGCTGCAAGTATTTTATTTCTAATTATCAGAGGGTATTAAATAATGTGACTTACGTACATTTAAAATAACTACTAGAGAAAGTTTCTCATTAATAAAACACTTTCCATGTAAACAGGATTATAAACGTTCACGAGAGGTTGGCTTTCAGATACCCATGAAGAGGGAAAAAAAAAGAGAAAGAAAATCACCTCCCCAGAACACCCATGTAGGTTATTTCCAGCATTGGTGATGAGAAAAATGGTAGGACAATGTTTGGTGGAACAAATGAAACTATTCTTCCTTCAACTTTTGTTTTACAGAGCCTACCTCTTTTTTCTTTAACCACAAACTAAAATAAAACTGAGTGGGAGGCAAAAATTCTTCTGAAGTATTAATCTGACCTACAGTAAGAAGAAAATGATAGGTGCTATGGGAAAGGCAGCTGCCTCTGGTTGCTCTGAGTTTGGTCAGAATTTTTAGTACAAGTACTGATGGTGGAAAATCATGATGATTTATCAGGATTTATAACATCTTCTTACTAACTTTTCTCTATGCTACAAGTAGATTGATAAATATTTAATCAGCAGTAAAGCAAAAAAGTACATTTGTCCATGAGGTAAACGTTTAACAACTTGATTTGAAAATCACAAATATCTATGAGAGATAAACTCTGTAAGCTCTTCCATTAATCAAGTATAGCAACCAGGAATATCTTTCATGGACAAAACTCGTTCTGTGTCTGTTAGTGTTTCTGGACAAGATGCCGAGTCAGTATCTCCTATTTGCTGATTTATAACACAATGGTTGACTGACTGAGCCAGGATAACACTTTGGGATACTGGGTCTCTGAGAATACTTCATGTATTTGGTGACAACATGTACTTAGTGCTCTTGTGAACTCCTAGTTTACCTATGTATGATGCTTTCCCTATACAACTTCCAGTAATTTGTAACTGGTGTAATTAAAATGAAGAGTAGTTGATGTTGTCATCAATGGATAGTTGATGTTGTTATCAACTAAGCTAATGTTGTGACTGGCATTAGTCAGGAAGGATCAGGGGATCTACCTCGAAGGAGAAAAGGGCTTCCACAGAGTGCCCTCTTTCAAGGACCTAATTTCATAGATAACTTAGCAAAGAAAAGGCCACAGCTTTACCAACCTCATGTTAAGCCACTAAGCTTAGAAACTCAGTACAGGAAACAAAAGCAAGCTGGTACTCATTTTTTTCCTGACAGATCTGGTCCATCAGACCAGAAAGTGAATGTTTTTCTACGGCAAGAGCACCAAGCTGAGGTATCTAATGATGCTCTCTTTTATTCCAAATGACTTCAAGGGAAAAACAAAATAATCTCTAATGGTTTCCGAGCCTTAACTGTAACAAGCAAAAGTGGAATAGATTTGAGTCTTTGGCACCACCTGGAATATTGTTTTTAATTAGACAATCACCAAGGAGAGAAAAACATTCCCCCAGCCCCTTCAGTCAACTAAAGCCAATACAGAAAATATGATACATTAGTAGAGAAGCCACCCTTATTGAACTTATCAAGGCCTGAAGGGATAGCAAGAAAACAAAAATCAGCTCATGTCTTTGCTAACTACTTCTGATATATTCAGTTCTATTTTCAAACCACAGGATTCTGCTCATAAAGGTTAGCTTTTTCAAAATATCCAAGACCCTGCTAAGGGTCCAGAGGAAGGCCATGAAGATGACCAGAGGACTGGAGACCTCTCCTATGAAGACAAGCTGAAGAAGCTGGACTTGCTCAGCCTGGAAAAGAGAAGGTGGTAGGGAGACCTCACTGTGGACTTCCAATATTTACAAGGAAATTATAAACAGGAGGGAAATATATTTTATACAAGGGTAGGAACAGAGAATGGAGGTAGGACAGGGAATGGAGGGAATGGAGGAATGGTTTTAAACCCCATCCCTGGAGGTGTTCAAAGCCAGGTTTGACAGGGGCAAGCTGATCTAATACTTGATCTAGTGGTTGGCAATCCTGCCCACAGTGAGGGGGTTGAAAACTTGATGATCCTTGAGGTCATCTTTCAGAAGACTGTGCCTACCACCTTGTCTCCTTTAACTTCACGGTGACAACAGCAGGGAAGATGGTTCTTTGTACCAGTCCATCAGCTTGGAGTCAGGCAAGGCAGAATTTGTTTTCCAATTACCCACATTATTTTGATCATGAAAACATTCAGTCTTCTTTCCTTTTTAGGAAAGCAAAATGAACTGACAACATCCATTAAAAAAAAGAAACAAATGAAACATAACTAGGTGCTGGAATGCTAAGGATAAAGCAGTGGAGTCTCAGGGTAAGCACTAGAAAAGGCTATGCTCTCAACAACACAGTGCAGGGAAGGAAAATATTTGAGCAGAAATTGCAGAAGCAGCTCCTTCACTAAGCAAGATGCAAATAGAACATTCTCAAGGCTAATCAGCACTGAGAATTTTTTTAATACTGAGTAGCACACAGCCCACAAGTACCAATCTGGCTCACAACCTTTCACAAACTACATCTTGGAATCCAAAACACTTCAGTCCTTCAAACTGTTGAATGTTCATGCTGTTCAAACTGTGACTCTTATACTAGTAGGATAACCACTGAGGAGAGAAATCTCAGCCAACAGTAAGTACACAAGTGAGAGAACATAAGCACACATCAAACACCTACACTCATTAGGACTAAAGGTGACCTGAGCGCCTCTATCAGTTGAATGCTGCTGAAAAATGACAGCCACCCCGCATGAAACATCAGACAAAAATTCTTAAATTCAGCTCAAGCCAGCACTGGGCTTTTTACCACTGAATTTCTTAATTCAACTAAACAACACTAACTTAGGAAAGAGCAAGGCTAACAAAGTGCACTCAAAGAAGAACCCTCCCTTCACTAGCACATCATTAATTAGGGACAAGTATCAGGAGCATTTTCAATCTAACACAGGAAGTCTTCACTTAAGTTTAAACCACACCATACTGTGCTAGATCTGTACAGGTTACAGAGAGTTTTCAGAGTAATTCATTTTATATTCATAAAAACAGAGGAAAACCATTACTGCGCTGGACTTTGAATTGTGCCATGCGAAGTTTAATACGATAAATATTTTTCATCATCTCCCAGTATGCAAAATTTAAAGAGTGGAACAGAAAGTGGATGGTAGTTTTAGACCCTGTATTTACTTAAAGGATACATTACTTGAGAAATAATGGCTTTTTTGACTTAATGCTTACTTACAAAGGTAGCGCAACGTAACTTACTCTTTATAGATCAAAACTTCACCAGATTATACACATGCAGTACTTTGGAAAACCTGGAATTCTGCTTGTTAAATGGGTAGGCTTGTCTATAGAGATGAATACAAAATAACTCACTTCAGAAAAGCCATTTTTAGCATAGAAAGGGTGAAAATCTGATGAATCAGTTGAATAAAGCAGCCTTAAAATTTTACTAATTCTTCTCAGTCCAGCAATACAAAAAAACAAAGGAACTTTCTGCTATGAATATAACAAGCAATAATAATAAAAAAAAAGCTAATCAATCAGTCGCACAAAGAGCATAATACCCTGGGGGCACACCAGGATACAAACTGTAACTAGCATTCCTGTTTATGCTGAGCATCTCGACAACAACAGGATGCTAATACTCGTGCTAACAGTCAAGGAGCTATCAGAACTGTACCAGAGATAGTCTAAAAAGTGGTTTAGTAATATAGTGAAAATAAAAATGCTTTAATTGAAAAAAGAATTCTCAGCATGTATTCCAAACATCTATTCCATCTCTGTACCAGAATGGCATTCAGGTCATCATTATATTATAACAAACACCTGCTTTACTGACTTATTTTGCAAAGCTCTGAAAACCTCTAAATTTCACTGACGTGCTTCCTTTTCCAAGCAGTGAATCTGAGATACCTCTTGTGAACAAACACAGGGGTGCTCAGTTAGGCAACTGAACTGTGTTTCATGAAATTGGAGGCAATAAAAATACCTCATTTTAGTTTTCAAGCAATGAAAAGCTAGCTACTAATTTACAGAGTTACAATACCTGAAAATTTAGACAATATACATGTCAGAGTGACTACAGAAGCATAAAATGAGGTATACACATATATTCCAGGCAATGGGAATTTAAGGTAGCATTGACTATGAAATCTATATAGGAGTTTCCAGATAGCATTAGCAAATATTTTGAGGCTCTGCCCCATGTTCTTCAGAACATTTGAAGATTTTCAAACTCCAGTGAAACTTTCAATAACCAAAATTAAAAACGCGCTTTATGTTTTTATTTTATACCTTCTATTGATGCAATTTGATTTCTAGAATGATGAAAGACAGAGCAGGTTCGCAAAATGTTCCTACTCTCATAAGCTGCCCTGGACCCAGAAGAAACAGACTGAAGTTACAAACACATTGCTTGGAAATTTGTGCCAGCTGATAAAAAAACCACATCTCATTTTAGGTGAGTATATACTGAAATCATATACAGTGAGTCTTAACTATGCACATCTTTTTCATTCATTCATTCTCATGCCTTCCTGTAGTTTCTGATATTTACCTATTATGCAAATTGTAATGCAACAAAATTCAAACTCTGAAGTTACTTGGGGAAAAAAAATCCTCCACAAATAGCCCAACATTCACCATATCTACTCCAGACTTAAAAAAGGAAATTTAAGAAATATACACATTAGGAGTTTCATTTTTTACTATAAAACAATGAGGAATGGTGAAATCATTTAGGCTTCCTTCTGCTTGCATTTCTTTTCCCTCCAATATTTGATTTAAAGTTAGACAAACTAGATCATCAAGCTAATCTGCAAAAAAAAAAAAGCTCAATTATGCCTTCAATCATCACAACAGGTTCTTTCTGCTCTTCAAGATGATGCCTATAATTAAGAAAGCCAACCAGTGAAAGACTAGACAAGCAGCTGTACAGCATACAGTTCTACTACTGAGATGGGAGGTGGAGAAAGGACCCAGCTTAGGTCTTCAGTTATCCCTTCCGGTAAACAACAAAACAAGTAAGAACCTTCTTGAAAATCACATCACAGAATCAAAGAATTGCAGAGGGTGGAAGGGACCTCAAGAGACCAAGTCCAATCCCAATGCTAAGGCAATAGGTCACAAAGGTAGGCATCCAGACAGGTCTTGAATATCTCCATAGAAGGAGACTCCACAACCTCACTGGGCAACCTGTTCCAGTGCTCCATCACCCTTACCATAAAGAAGTTCTTCCACATGTTTGTATGGAATTTCCTGTGTTTAGGCCATTGCTCCTTGTCCTATTGCTACAGACTACCGAGAAGAGCCTGGCCTCATCCATTTGCCTCCCACCTCCCTTTAAGTATTTATAAACACTGATCAGATCCTGTCGTCTTTTCCCCAGACTGAAAAGACCCAGGTTACTCAGCCTTTCCTCACATGAGAGATAAATGAGAGATGCTCCAGGACCTTTACAATCTTTGCAGCCCTCTGCTGGACTCCTTCTAGGAATCTTTTTTCCCCTTTTTTTTTTCTCCAACTGGAGAGGCAAGAACTGAAGACAGTATTCTAAATGTGGCCTTACAAGGGCAGAGTAGAGAGGGAGGATCACCTCCCTTGACCTGCTGGCCATGCTCTTTTCAATGCACCCAGATCCATCAAAGCACCATTAGAGCCATTTCAGTCCAATGGAAGAAAAAGCACCCACAGACAGACAATCTGTAGGCAGAAACAGGCATAGCTAAGTTGAATGCCACAATTATGTACTGAGCTGCAAGCCTGTAGTATTTATCTGGACACCTTCCGTCTCATTTAATCTTCTTCTGACTACAGTACAGGCTGAGGAATTATGTGATGGACATCAGACCACACACTTCAGTTTCCCTAGCTTGGAATTGTGGATGGAAGTCAGAGAGGGACTTACCTTTTTTCATTTCCATATGATTTCTGAGCAACTTTTGCATGGAGTATTAGTACTGTTTGATCGCCTCGCTCCTTAAGGTAATTTCGCATTGCTTCCCTAAAAATTAAAAGACAAAATAAGCTTTGAAAGTTCTTTTGGTTTTGTTTATAATTACAGTAACTCAAGGTCAGCTTTAGGACAAAACAAAAAAACAAAAAATTCACCTGGAATTTAAAAAAAAAGACAACTGTCAGTATATTAATAAGTTCAAGATAGATGTGGGTTTTTTTTTTTTTCCTTTTGCTTCCTTTTGCTCTGCAATTATCATGTATCACGACAGCAGTGGTTTGTGGTCATTTATACTTACCAATACATTTTCCAGAAAGAAAAATTTGTGACATAAAATCATTTCAATGCCCTTCACTACACCAGTCTCAATGTCTGATTTTATAAAATGTCATGCTAGAAATACTTCATTATAATACACTTTCTATATTGGCTGAACAGAAAATATTGTGGGGTTTTTTGCCTTTTTTTTTTTTTTAACATTATTAACTGAATTGTCATCCGTGTCAGTTCTTTCAGTTATGAAGATACGTAAGAGTTTAAACTCTTTGCTTGATCTAGATTTCTAGAGAAGGGTTTCAATTTCTTGCATACAATCAAGTAAAAAAAAAGATTTTCTATCATTCATCATCATTGCAGTGACAGAAGTCATATAAAAGCTATAATTACATCAGACACACCAAAAGACATTCTTTGAGAGAAATAACAGAACAATACGCCCTATCATTCTTCCGTATATCAATCTAACTGTTCACAAAGTATCACGCCAAATTCAACACCCTGGGGTTTAGCTGTGTAAGAGTGCTGACAGATTATTTTTAAGTCCCTGGAGGAGCTTTTTGCAGGTTGAATGCCCATCAGCGCGCTCATCTTCAAACTTACCAAACATAGAAACAAACTCTGAATTTAACAGGAAGTCATAAAGAGATTAAACCTAACAGAAGTGGAATTTTTTTTAATAATTTTTTTTTTTTTTTTCAAACTGCACCCAACTTTTGAATTCCCTTTAGACAGGTCAGAAACACCAAAATAAATTAATGTCTTGAAGTCTTTGTACCACTTTTCCAGTGAAAAAATTCAGTAGATAAAAACAAAATTTTTTTTCCTGAAGAAATCCCCCACATACAGTTTCACAGAGGAAAACAAGTAGATGTGCTCAATTTTGGGAGCCTCACTTCAAGAAAAACATCGATGTTCTGGAGCACGTCCAGAGAAGGGCAACTAAGCTGGTAAGGGGTCTGGAACACAAGCATTAAGAGGACTGAGGAAGCTGTGATCGTTCAGCCTGGAGAAGAGGAGGCTCAGGGGAGACCCTATTGCTCTCTATAACTACCTGAAGGGAGGTAGTAGTGAGCTGGGAGTCAGCCTCTTCTCTCATGTAACCAGTGATAGAGGGAATGGCCTCACATTGCAACAGGGTAGATTCAGGCTGGACATGAAGAAACACCACTTTTCCAAAAGAGTGGTCAGGCACTGGAATGGGCTGCCCAGGAAAGTGGTGGAGTCACCGACCCTGGAGGTGTTCAAGGAATGTTCAGGTGCTGTTAGTGGTTAGTGAGCCCTATTGATAATCAGTGGATGGTTGGACTGGATGATCTTGTAGGCCTTTTCCATCCTTGGTGATTCTATGAGAGGACAATGGAGGAAATTACAGCTCAGGTTTGCTAATGATATTTTGTAAACTCTTGCATTGGCCATGTCTGCCTAAGACCTGGATCAGCTGCTAGATTCTTTGTGAGCAGGGGAATATAGGAGCAAAGATCCCAAAGTTGGATTAACTTGATCTATTTACACTTGAATTGGTAAAACTGATGTTTATCCATGACAGCGTAAATTACAACAACTGCCTTAAACTATACACACACTATTTACAATCATTGCATACAAATGTTCTAAGGCATAAAATGTATTTCATTGTGAAGTTATCCTTATTCAACATATTAGCTGCATTTAAGTAGGTTAGCAACTTTTCATCTGACAATTTGAAATTTTCTATGAATAACACAGTCATACTAAATTAATAACTGTCATATTAAAAACCTTTGGCTTGACTACCATTAAACAGCAGCTCAAAGCCAGCAATCCACTCACTAAAATGCTAGGTGCTACCTAATGTTTCTTTAGCACTACATTAGGAACAAATACTGCCTCTTCTACTAATGTGTTGCTACAGCATATCTGTACCATCTGAGCTCCTAGGAGAACCAGGAATGTTCCCCTCCAACTCCTCCCACTGATAAAAGAAAAACATCACAATTCTCACAAGGTTTCTTTTGTTATTAAATCACAAACCTCTCCACAAAGGTTCTACTATTGCAATTTACATCTTATTGCAAAAACAACTAGCTCAGTATGAACGGAAGTAGTATTTTTATTGTCAAGGAACTCGTACAACAAAACAAAAGTTTCAGTATTTTCTAAGAAGTACATGCCTGAAAATACATTCCATGTTACACTAGAGAGTTAGCATGAGGCTGAATACATTATTAGGCTAACAAGACTGCCTATACAAAGAAGCAGAATAATTTCACAATAAATGAACTAAATGCCTTTAAGGGTTTACACATTTTTTCAAAGCATTACAGAAAAATTGCACTCTTAAAAATGGGTGAGTCCTTCTATTTTTAGCATTTTTCTCTTCAAGAGAAAAAAAACTTAGGCTGCTTTTGCTTCTAGCTTCTCTTTATCAGTACAAATTTAAAAAAAAAGTTTTAAAAAAGTTTAAAAAATATTTTAAAAAGTTTATGTTACGGCTTTCAAGGATGGCACATAGCTCCTAGATGCACATCCTTTGACAGCAGGAAAATCTACCTGGCATATCTAATAGCTAAAGTCCTGCACGTAAAAGAGTCCCTACACTAACTAATCAAACTCATGACAATGTAAGTTAAATGATATGACTAGACAGTCGATTTTGTTATTGTTGTTAAATCATAGAAGGTAAATTTTATCATTAACTCTCAGGTAACACCAACAGCTGTTAATGCTCGAAATGAAAACTGATTCATGACTTAAACCAGTATGTTTAAATATCCCTGAAAATAGTTAGGTCAACAGGAAACAGTACTGTTTGTTCAATCGCTTTTAAGTCAGTACAGAACTGTTTTGTATTGAAATAAAGTTTAATAATCACACAAGCTAACCTGAAGCTTGAAAGGCAACGAGAAATATTCCCCACACAAGTGCATGCCACACTTTACATAAAATATCATAATTTGATAGGACAAGGAGAAATTGTTTCAAACTAAGAGAGAGTTGATTTAGAATTGATAAAAGGAAAAGGCTTTTTAGAATTATGGTAATGTAGCACTGGTACAGGTTGCCCAGAGCAGTGGTGGATGTTCCATCCCCAGAGACATTCAAGATCAGGCTGGATGGGGCTCTGAGCAACCTGAAGACCAGGTTTTAGACCTGTAGGTGTCCCTGTTCATTTGCAAGGACTTGAACCAGAAGACCTTTAAGGGTCCCTCGCAACTCAAATGACTCTGTGATTCTATAATTTCATTCAAAAAGACATAGGCCAGACAAACAATGGGCTTCCCTGTTTTTATACAGCAATACTATCACAAGAAACCTGCGAATTTTATACACTGCAGAGGATTTTAAACATAGTAGCTCCTTTTGATGGGCACAGTTCATGGCACAGAATAGTAAATGTTTGCACTGACTGTATTATTACAGTTTGATAAATTCTGACAGCATGTAGTACAAATGCTTCTCAAACAGCTGAGGAGTGGTTGAGGCACACTACTCCACAGCCTCTTTGATCTGATGATGGTACTATTCAATGTTACTTCTATATAGACTTTATCAGAAACTGCTTAAGACAGCACTGAACTAATTTTGCCCATACCTGGAGCATGACAGCACTGAGATAATAGCTGAATTTTGGCAGTAAAGAATGCCATTTTGTATGGCCTCACAGATTACTTTTATCCAGTAAAAGATATCCAGCTCATTCCTGGTTATTTAAAACTAAGCAGATTCACATCCAACAGAATAATCTACAATAACTGATTTCTGAAGTCAATACAATTTATAAAAAAGGCATTTTGATTATCATACAAAACTACTGACTGTTCAAGTTTTTAGTTCTGGCTGCTGACGATTACATTTTTTTTTTAAAAGCTTTCACATTTTAAATTCTAGGTTAAACAATTCACTTTTTTTTTTTTTTTTTTTTTAAACTTGGAAATCTTCTGGGAGATAGAGAACTTGAGAATACTGTTCAAAAAATGAACTGCTTTAATGCTTACCTGGTGAGCCGTTTCGGTTGAGGTCGCTCTCCAAATTTCCTGAAAAAAGAAGAAGCTGTTAATTTAAAACCAAAATGTTTAGTCATAGTTTTTCAGTGAAATATTAGGCCAATTTTACAATCTCTGAAAATGTACTGGTGTATTTTCTTTGTAGTTTTCTAGCTAGACTATGCCTCCTTCCAACTGCTTTTCCCACAAAAGCAGAAGCACTTTTTAATTAGAACAGATAAATTTCCTTGCTGAATATCCACAAATAATAATAAAAAAAGAATATTTCATTTACATTAGTTGTACACAAAGCAAGTCTTTCATTTATCTTAAAATTATTTTTAAAAATGTCTCCAGCATCTCACTCCTGACTTCTTATTACACTTTCCGCAAGCTACTTTTTCTCTAAACTGTTTTCGCGAAGTTAAGATATCACAACTATGTAAATAACCAGAAGCTCTCTGCCACAGCATTGACCAGAACGGGCAAAAAGCAATTATCTACTAACAGAAATTAACAGGCCAAACTGACAAATCGTTGTGAATTCTCCTTATTAGGGTAAATTCTTAGAAATCTGCTGCTTCTTACGAAAAAGGATGGCAAAGTCTTTCATGCACGCTCATACAAAATTATACAGAAAAATCTCTCTTGTGAAACATAGCAAATTATAAGCAAGAAATATCCTGTTATATATTGAATGCTTTTTAGTCAAAAAATGTTTTCAGGCAGCTGTATTTCCTCTAGTGCTTTTATATTGCTCTTGAGAGAGGCTATATTCTTTATGCAAGCTTTCCAAAAGTTATCTTACGCTAGTTGAGACTGAGTTCCATCAGACAGACCCATTTTTACTAACAAAAACAGTTAGGTAGAAGACCTGCAAAAATAAAAAGTAAAGCTGTAGCAGCAATGTACATCTGCAGTGTACATCTGCTCAACCTGCTAAGGAAGTACAACCACAAGCCAAAATGAGGACAAAGAAAAGGGGAAAAAAAAGGCACTTATCAGCTTTAAGACAAACATCTAACAGGCTTAGCTTAACACTTTTCTATCTAAAAATAAACCCGGGCATAAGAGAGCGCATCTGCTGCCAGTGCTCGTAAATATCGCCACAACTTGCCCAGCTTTTTGATATGCGGGCGTATCTTTCCCTTTGTGCTTCCTGGATAATGAAAAACCCACCTCTGATATTTCCCTACTCCAGCGCTGGAGGCTCCCCAGGACAACAGCGAGGATGGGGAACTTCTCCTTGCATCATTTAACCATTTGCACAGTCCATCTGCCCTGAATGACTCGATACATTCCAATTTCATTTCAGTAATTCTCCAGATGTGCAAAGTGTAAATACATAGCTCATGTAATTTACACTGGTAAGCAAAACAGTCTCTGCTAAAAGGCAGTGACAAGAACATTCAGTAGGGTGCAGGGTTCTAAATTATTTTTCACGTCTCAAGAAATCTGCATTGTGGTCTCCCTATACAGAGCTAAGTAGAGGATTAAGACAAATTAAGGGTTTTTTTTCTTTTCAGTTTAAACAACAAAATTAAATGCATCTGAACTGACTTAAGCTCCGTTCACATTTTGTTGGTGTATTACTCACTTATTTACCTTATTTTAAGCTAAAAGAAAACAATGACAAATTCTTGCTGCACAACTTGTCCAGTAGATCTTGAAATTTAAAATACATAAAAACATGTAGTTCACATTTTTCTCTGTGGTATGCATCACTGCACTGTCACATTTGTTATGCAGAAAACTAACTAAAAATCCCTAACAGCTTTGGACTTTGGCAACAGCATCAGTTACATACGCACAGGCAGGTGCTATAATGAGAAAGTCAGGCTCCCAAACCTTAATCTCTCCTACCATCCATCTTTTGCAGGCACGCTGACCTCCACCTCCCAGGCACACCAAAGCCACTGACTCCTTCCCCTACCCCCCCCCAACTAACAGAAGGTGTGTGTCCCCACCCCTCCATGCCTCTGTGGTTCCGTCCCCTAATAATGTGGGAGCAGTACATATGGCAGAGGATTCATCTCTCTGTGACTCACCGACTAGACAACAGATTACCCTTAAGCTATTCTCTACAGACAAACAAAACCCCATAGATTAGCTGTCTCACTTTGAGTAGAATGACATTCAATCACTCTGCACCTTTTAATTCATAAAGAAAAAAGTTAAGAGGTGCCTACATGGAGCAAAGGAGGCAATATACACATGGTACTTGCACCACAGCCAACAGCTCCAATCCAATGAGGACACAGGGACACCTGAAACTGCGTGACACACAGAAACAACAGACAAGACTGCTCATTCTTTAAGAACATTTACTCATGCACAGCTCTGGGAGCAGCAGATCAATTCCCCTTGCAAGTACACTAATTGCAGCCTAAAAAAACTGTACAAACAACTAAACTACACAGAAACAGAACAGTTGCAATTATTGCAACATAATAAATCCCATCCTCTAAGTACCAACAGGCCCCTTCCTCAGAGACAGCATTGAGACATACCAGACATGCACAGGTCCCATTGCAGCCCACCAACAGGTCCAGAAACCGAGCTCCAGTCGCTGCATGCACCGCCATCAGCCATATGCCAGCTTCCCCCAGCCTGCTCATCCAAACTGAAGTTAATGGTTTCACTCTAATCACCTTGTGAACACAGGTGCTGCCTGTAGCAACATGAATCTTCTGAACAGATGCAAACAGTGAATCTTTTGCTACTCTTTCACTGTCCATATGGGGCAAAGTAGAACAGGAGGTAGTCACAAGTATTTACTGTGGTTCAATTTTTGACTGTGTAACTAAATTCAGCTTCTACCTCTTCAATAATGTCACCTTACAGAAAAACAGAATATCCCCAGTTGGAAGGAAACCACAAGGATTATTGAGTCCAACTCCTGACTACATGTAGAACCACACAAAATTCAAACTTTATGTCCAAGAGCAGTCCAAACACTTCTTGAACTCAGTCAGCTTGTTGCCCTGGGGAGTCTGTTTCAGTGGCAAACCACTTTGTGGTGAAGAATCTTTTCCCAATCCCGATCCTGACCCTCCCCTGACACAGCTCCACACCATTCCCTTGGGTCCTGTCACTGTCACCAGGGAGCAGAGATGTTGACCAATGACTGGTCATTGTGCATCCTACCCTTGATATTAATAACCAGCACATTCCTGTACCATCCCACATACTGACGTGAACACAATATATCCCATAGCAGACATTATATCCAGGATACCAACTTTTTAGTCACACTGCATAAGACAAGATAAATAAATAAGACATGAAACAAGACAGGAAGTAGCAGGTGAATTACACAGGTAGCTCTATAAGTAATGCCTCCTATTTATTTCCATGGAAATAACAACAGATATAATGTACATAGTAACACTACTTGATAGAACAAATTCTCAGGTATAGGATACTTTTTCAACACAGTCATCACCCTTAGCTATGTATTTTTGCCAGCAATGAACAAGAGCCAGCATGCCACGCTCAAAAATCCACACCAGGGGAGGTGACCCACTATTTCATAGCTGCTATGACAGCATTGTTACTAGGAGAACACTGCCCATGCAGTCTGTCTCTCATCAGCACAAAGAGACAGAATACTGAAGGAGTCAAATCCTGGACTGTACGGTGGGAGTGGTAGGGCAGTCCAGCCAAGACTGGCAATCTGCTCCATGGTCTTCTAACTGGTACACGGCCTGGCATTATCGTGTTGCAATAAAGGTTGTCTTTTCCTCTGCCCTTACTCTGGAAGTTCAAGTCTTCAGCTTAGTCAGCACTGTGATGCAGTCAAAGTTGACAGTTTGTTCAGCTACCAGGAAATACAAAAGAATCACCACTTTCCTATCCCAAAAGACAGTGCTTTACCTGATAGCTGAGGGCTGTCTTGAACTTTCTCTTCAATGGGGAATTCAAATGTCACACTCCGTGGACTGCTGTTTTGACTAAGGCTTGTAGTGGTAATAGTATGTCTCGTCACTCATAGTGACATGATCCAGGAAACTGGCTTAATAGGTCCAGACAAACTTGCATACGGTGTTTTCTCATTCCCGTCTAAGCATTCATGGGATCAGGAGCAAAGAGCTTGTGATATTTCAATGTTGCTACACTGTTTCAACAAACAGAAGCCAACACTCAGCTACATACACAGCTGCCTGGTCACACACCTCCTATACACATCCATGAGCTGACCAAGACACCCATCATTTTGCGGTGTGAATGACCATCAGGAACATGATTTGTTCTCTACATTGCTGTCACCACTGCTGAAACACACCACCCATCATCTCACTGTTCATCCGTTATTGGATCTGCACAAACATTCAGCAAGAACTGATGAATGTCAGTCGGTGCCAGTTTTTCCACACAGCAGAATTCAACGATACACCCTTGCTTCAAACACACCTCTGTGTCAGATGCCATAAGTCAGACTGCCCCCTGCTGCCATATGTCACACAGCAACAAAATGTAATAGAATATTGGTGGGAAGGTTCAACCTCTAATGTCATAACACCAATGTCTGCCTCTGACATCATGAGCCAACATCACAAGATAGGAGGCATTATATTCAGACTGTCAGAGCAGCTCTCCTGCATTTAATTGTTCATCTAGTTTGTTCTTTCCATACATTTTCAATTTGCTATAGATATCTGTATTTACAATACAACCAGAAGTGAAAAGCACCACCATCAACTGCCATGCAGAAGGCTTTTTTGTTTTGTGATGCTAAGGATTTGCAAGCACAAGAAATACATTATCTGCAATTTGGTGCTACATGACAGACACTGTACAGCTATGAGTGCTGCTATTTCAACCTTTCATATGTGACTGGCATGTTAAAATACCAGTACAGTTACTTCAGTGGTACCTGACAAACTTGGCAGCGATTGCAATATTTTCCTCATTTCAGATTTTTCTTGGATTTCATTTTCTGGGGTTTCTTTTTAAATTCAGCATTACTCTTACTCCCCCTTGTCTACATCTTGAAAATATGCAGATTGATAGATAAAAAAACATGCAGGAAACTACAAACATATCTTTTT